GGACCAAAAGGGCACATTGGGATCATGGAGCAAAAGGGGCAGGTGCTCAAGCCCCCTTAGCCCCCCCCTCTGCACGTGCCTGCCAATTAGTGTTTGCGTTCTATGACTCATCCAATGACACTAGTTTTCACAAGATGTGGATGGAGCCAATGATCTGCATTGGATGGAGCACATGATGGGAAATAAATAATTATATATATATTATATATAAACCGAAGCCAAGAGTAACGAGTAATGTTTATTTTAAAAATGTAATGAATAGAAAGTACAGATACTTGTGTGAAAATGTAATGAGTAGAAGTCAGAAGTAGGAAGAAAAATAAATAATGAAGTAAAGTATAGATACCTAAAAAGTGTACTTAAGTACAGTAAAGAAGTATTTGTACTCGTTACTTGACACCTCTGCCTTTAGGTCAGTGGTTTCCACTCCTGGTCTTCTGGTCCATGTTAGTCGTGTCTCTGTTCCAGCATATCTAATTTTAATTAACCAGACTTGCATTCTTCCCAGGAAGCATCGCCCTGCTCTAAAGGACTAATGATGCAATATTTTTAGAAGATGAACTCAATATAAGCAATTTGATTTTATATATAAAGAAAATGGGGAGGAAAGTGAGCATGATGGGAAAAAGAAAAGGGACTGAAAAATAGAGAGTAATGAAACAATAGATGATCAACTAAAATGAACCATCTCAGCGTCCACGTAAACCGATGATCATGATCCCTTTCCTGGATTAGAAGAGAGACTAAATTGCAAGAAGGAAAGATTATAGATGAAGGCAAATTTTAAAAACTGTGTTTACCTTCTGACTTGGAGCCACAGACAGAAAACAACTTCAACATGGAAAAAAAAGAAATCTCAGAAACATTTAGTATTCACTTATTTTAATAAAATTATCTAATGTTAAAAATAAATATTTAAGCAAACATTTAGTGAAACAAAATCGTAAATTTGGTCTAAAAATAATCAATCAAAATCCTGCAGTGGTTCTGTTTAAAATGTTGAACAAATCATCTTAGGTTATCAGTCAGCTTCTGATCCTTCATCCATCGTCATTTAAAGAGCTTCAAGTGTTCAAGATGTGAAATTACGGTACTAAAAAAATGTGCAAATAGTTTTGACCATTTTGTTTTCAGTGTCTATGTAAGTATCTCTAAAAAAATCACCAATCCATGACCTGATTTTAATAAATTAAATCTATGATGTAATAATTGAACATCTTCTATAAAAAAAAATAATAATAATACCTTCCAAGAACAATTTCAATATCTCCTAAAAAAAAAGCTTCAATCTGATCAACAGACCTGGTTCTGCTAAAAGTTAACCTGAGTTAAACAGATGGATCAGCAACTACATGAAGACCTTAAATTGAACATGATGCCAGATCAGTTTAATCTAAAGTTTAAACATGACTAACAAATTAACTAACACAATAAAAAGCTCAAGTTAAAAGAAACTAAAACTATAATATTCTTTTCTGCTCTGAAAAGTCAAATCATTGTTTTTCCTCGAGATAAACCCAGAACGTTTGATCATCTGAAGGTTTGGAGGATTCCTGCAGAACCTGACAGCAAACATGGAGAACCTTCAGGAGAAAAGAAAGAGCCCAAAGTCAAACAAAGAGACTGTAATTAGTGCAGGTGAAAACCAAATAAATGATTATTTTTAAAAGCATAAAAATGTAAAATGAGCGAAAGAAATTAAAATAATCTAAATTGAACTTTAAACTTTCTGTTAACTGATGACATCCAATATAATGAGTCCAACTTCTGAGTCAGACTAACCTGGTTTCATCGATAGAACTCTGACTGATACGAGGACTGATCTCCAGGATTCTGCTGCAGGGTGGGATCTTAATCCTTAGGAAGCTGCAGGAGAGACGACTTTGTGTAGCTCCCATCTACATCAATGCAGCTCTGCCCATGAGCAAGGCAGTAATCTGCAAGGCTGAGGCCTGACTCGGGATTTTTCTGAAACCTTTAAAAAGCAAATAAAACAGTGAACAATTTATTATGTAAAGATGGGAGGAGAGCTGAAGAATCTTAATAATGTCTGACCTTCTTTCAGCTGTTTTTTCTTATGCTGATGTAAACAATCAGACAAATAATGAAGACGATAATGAAAATGATGAAGAAAACAAAGTGAAAGCGGGGAAACAGCCTGGACCAACCACCTAGAGTAGAGATAAAGTCAGTGAACAGAAAACCAGACTACATTTAGGTGATCAGCAGCTGAAAGGTTTATGTTTGGAACCAAAGACCTACCAGCATCAATGGTCTCATCCTTCGGTGTTGGAATAGGGAGGTTTCTCTCATGAACCGTCTCTGTTTTCTTTATTTTGATAAAGTCTGGGACTGAAACAGCAACAGAAACAGGATTTATTAGCAACAAACAAAAACGGAAAAAGAACCTGCAAGTGGAACCATTTACTCGTCAACACCTAGTTGTTGAAGACTAACTTATTCAGTCAATATGTTTGGGTAGCAGGCTGCTTGAAATAATGTGAGTCTGTGTCAACATTTAAACTGAGACCAGACCAAAGGACAGCTTCAGCCATTAGTGGACATTAGAGCACTAATACTCAGAGGGTGATCAGATAGAAAAAAGACTCTTACCATTTCTGGATTAGCATCTGGATAAATATCTTTATTTTAATGATTTTCACAACTATTACTTTATGACATGAGGTCATCCTCTCAGTTCTGAACAGATACTCTGTGGTAAACTGTTTTTATGAAGTTCTTTGTACAATAGATGATGAAGATAATCTTTCAAGGCCATTGTTATGTATGTTATGCAACTGTTGATCTCGCACAGTTATTCTACAGGTTTGATTGTTCATCAGTCACAGGTCCACAATGCTAATTATAGGGAAAGTTGGTTACTAAACATTTCAGCTTTTGACCCCAAAAATGACAAGGCAACAGATTAAAAAACTCCTTAAGATACATATAATTACTCCACTATATATGCAGGTTTTTATTCATAAAAATAATTTCCTTTTTTAAAGGAAACTTATTTTTCATTGACATTGAATTATTTAAATATGAATTAAATTTATTTTAATTGTGTATTTTAAAACTATATTTAATATTTGATTCATGTGTTAAATAGAAAAATAAATTCCTTTATTTCATAGGACATTTATTGAAACTGATGCTTTGACCCTTCAAATGTCAAAGAGCCTTCTGGATCTTCTAACATCAAGAAAGTTTAACTGTTGAACAGCCTTGATGGCACATTAGTGATTGATATTATATCTAGTAAATCATTTTTATAAACTCCTGAAGTTCCTGTTCTCTATGTGAGAGAAAACAATGTTGTCTAGAGGTACCTTTTTTACTGTGTTTATTTTTTTAATCGGTTTGTATCAGTCAATGCCATTATTGTATAATCCAACATGCTTTCTGCAAGTCCTTAATAATTTTAAAGCAGAAGCTTAAAAACCTTTATATGTTTTACAGAGTAAAAAACATTTTGTGATTATTCTTATCCACACACAAATTGTCTGGTCCTCCTTCTTCTTCTTTTTTTTTTTTTACTATTACTATTAAGAACTTCCTGCTTTGAGAAAATCAAGACTGAGGAGCAGACAAGGATATGTGGAACCAACCAAGGGAAAGGTTCAGCAGAAGGAAATGAAAAGACATAAATGATAGGAGTGTCCAGTCCCTATTGGGTGCCCAACATCTGCTGAGTGAACTTACCAGTGACTGTGACACAGCACTCTGCAAAGCCCTCCCCATAGTCAGTCCTAATGTTACACACATAGAGCCCAGAGTCTCCTGTCGTCAATCTGGAAACATGGAATCTGATCCGTCCTTCTCTGAGGACGTCTTTGTCCACCTGGACACGTCCTGAAAACTGTTCATCCAGAGACTCTGATACCTCAACACCATCATGAGCCTGATAGAGGACTGAGGCTCTGAGGGGAGCCAGCCTACTGCAGATAACATCCAGTTTTGTCCAGGATCCCTGAGGTCTGGTGGTGAAGGTCCACTCCAGAGTGATGTTGTGGTTCTCCTCTGCCTGATAGGAGCTCTGTGCCACATTCACCACAAATGTTGGTGCTGAGGAGACAAAAAGGCAAAGTGAGGAGCATCTCTAGAGGTTTCTGTCTCATGATGGTCTCTGTGCTGTCAGAGCTCTGCTTGATTCTCCTCTAGTCAAACTGCTTATTCAAATGCAGCTGGAGGATTGAAGTGTTACTTTAACTGACAGACTTTCACTGATTATTAATGGATTTAGAACAAAGAGAAGATGGGAACTCACCACAGAGACATGAGCTGATGTTGATAATGAGGAGCAACAGGATCATTTTCTCCCTGAGAGACGAGACAGAGGAGAAGATTCAGCAACACATCAGCTCCAACAGAGACAACATCCACATTCTAACTTCATTCAGTCTGAAGATTATCTCTGTTAGATAATGTTTCCCACCC